TGAGTTTATGTTATGAAAATGGAATTGGTATTGAAAAAGATTTGAAAAAAGCTTTTTATTGGCTACAAAAGGCAGTAGAAAATGGAAGCACTAATTCACAATATAGTTTAGGATTATATTATGAAAATGGAAGCACTAATTCACAATATAGTTTAGGATTATATTATGAAAATGGAATTGGTATTACTAAAAAAAACACAACTGAAGCTTTTCCTTGGTATCAAAGAGCATCAATAACAAATAATAATGCACAATATAGACTGGGTTTATGTTATGAAAATGGAATTGGTACTTCATCAGATTATTATAAAGCATTTTATTATTATCAAAAAGCAGCAGAAAATGAGAATAAAGACGCACAATATAAATTGGGTTTATGTTATAAAAATGGAATTGGTACTGAAAAAAATGTAAGTCTGGCTTTTTATTGGTATCAACAAGCAGCTGAAAACGAAAATAAAGATGCACAATATAAATTAGGCATGTGTTATAAAAATGGAATAGGTACTAAAAAAAATAAAGAAAAAGCTTCTTATTGGTATCAAAAAGCAAAAAATAATACTGGTATTAATAAAAATGAAAATAAAGTTTTTTATTGTCATCAAAATGTAGCAAAAAATGAAAATGAAAATATACAATATAACTTGAGTTTATATTATAGTGAAGGATTTAATATTAATGATAAAGTTAAGGCTTTTAATTGGTATCAAGCTGCTGCAACAAATGGAAATCAAGATGCACAATATAAATTAGGTTTATGTTACGAAAATGGAATTGGTATTGAAAAAGATTTTGAGAAAGCCTTTTGCTGTTACCAAAAATTAGCAGAAAATGAAAGTAGTGACGGACAAATTAAACTGGGTCATTTTTATATAAATGGAATTGGTATTGAAAAAAGTAATGTTAAAGCATTTTATTGGTATCAAAAAGCAGCAGAAAACGGAATTAATAGTGCGCAATATAATTTGGGTTTATGTTACGAAAATGGAATTGGTATTGAAAAAGATGAGGTTAAAGCTTTTTATTGGTATCAAAAAGCAGCAGCGAATAAAAATGCAGATGCACAATATAATTTGGGTTTATGTTATGAAAATGGAATTGGTATTGAAAAAAATGATCTTACAGCTTTTAATTGGTTTCAAAAAGCAGCAAAAAATGAAAATGCAAATGCACAATATAGTTTAGGTTTATGTTATGAAAAAGGAATTGGTATTGAAAAAAATGAGGTAACAGCATTTTATTGGTATCAGAAAGCAGCAGATAATGGAAATAATAGTGCACAATATAATCTATGCTTATGTTATGAAAATGGAATTGGTATTGAAAAAAATAATGTTAAAGCATTTTATTGGTATCAAAAAGCAGCAGAAAATGGAATTAATGGTGCACAATATAATTTGGGTTTATATTATGAAAATGGAATTGGTACTGAAAAAGATGAAGCAAAAGCTTTTTATTGGTATCAAAAAGCAGTAGAAAATGGAATTAATGATGCACAATATAATTTAGGCTTATGTTATGAGAATGGAATTGGTACTGGAAAAGATAATTTTCAAGCATTTTATTGGTATCAAAAAGCAGCAGAAAATAGAAATGAGAATGCACAATATAATTTAGGCATGTTTTGGGAAAATGGTGTTGGCACTAATAAAGAAGATAACATTATGGCTTTTTATTGGTATCAAAAAGCAGCAGAAAATGAAAACAGTAATGCACAATATAGATTGGGTTTATGTTATAAAAATGGTATTGGTGTTGAAAAATGTAATGTTAAATCTTTTTATTGGAATAAAAAAGCAGCAGAAAATCAAAATGTAAATGCACAGTATAATTTGGGTATATGCTATGAGAATGGAATTGGTATTGAAAAAGATGAAGCTAAAGCTTTTTATTGGTATCAAAAAGCAGTAGAAAATGGAATTAATGATGCACAATATAATTTAGGCTTATGTTATGAGAATGGAATTGGTATTGAAATAGACGAAGTTAAAACTTTTTACTGGTACGAAAAAGCTGCGGAAAATGGAAATAATGATGCACAATATAATTTAGGTTTATGCTATGAAAGTGGAATTGGTATTGAAAAGAATAAAGCTAAAGCTTTTTATTGGTATCAAAAAGCAGCAAGCAATTTTAATAATAATAATGCACAATATAAATTAGGTTTATTCTATGAAAATGGAATTGGTATTGAGAAAAGCTATGCTCAAGCTGTTAATTGGTATCAATCAGCAGCAAATAAAAATGCGAATGCACAATTTAATTTAGGCTTATGTTATGAAAATGGAATTGGCATTGCAAAAAATGATGCCGTGGCTTTTAATTGGTATCAAAAAGCAGCAGAAAACGGAATTATTAGTGCACAATATAATTTAGGTTTATGTTACGAAAATGGAATTGGTATTGGAAAGGATGAAATTAACTTTGCAGAAACCTCTGGTTTTCACAAAATATGTCAGACATAATCACTACATATTACTAACAGATGGTATATATATGTTCTATATATTTTAATATACGCAATATGTTTGTAATATTAATAAAATAATGTTATAATATTTTTAATATATGTTGAAATTTAAACTTAAACTAATATAGTGTAGTAAATATTTTTGTAATATGAATAAAATAATTTTACAATATTTTCAAAGTATGTTAAAACATGTACTTAAACAAATGATATAATGAATATTTTGAATATGTTGTTAATATATTTCAAGTATGCTGTTGATATATGAATAACATATTTTGAATACTGTTGTTGATATACAAACAATATATTTTGAATATGTTGTTGATATATGAATAATATATTTTGAATATGTTGTTGTTATATGAATAACTGCTTCTAGCATGTGACTGTCATGTGACTATAAGGTTGATCGCTAGTGCATTTTTTTCGTCTTAGTTACCAAATCACTACTTTATATTGGCTATGTAAAGGCAATATGAAACCTTAATTTTTTTAATTTTAAATAATATGATTTTTTTTAAAAAAAAATAAAAATAAAAATTTATAATTTTATCCTTTTAACGAAAATACAAATTGTGTTCAATTTACCTAATGCTAAAAAATAAATCTTGATTAGCTTTGCCATTTATCATAACACTAATTTATTAAAATGCATTATAATAATATAATAAGGACACTCGTTATTGTTAATTTATTGATATATAGCAAAAATGTATTAAATTTAAATAGTAAATAAATTGTGTAATCAAACATAAGATATCAATATTGATATATAATATATATTTAAAAATCATAAACTTCGTAGCCACGCTCAATTAAGGCAATGTATTACTAGACCTACACTAAAGATGACTTTAGCAAGGCTTTCTTTGTGAATTAAAAGAAATTTCATACACTTTGCCAGCTGGTGGGATAGCTTATGACCTCTAACAAGTCTGTTTATACTTTATACTAATAAATCCAGAATGTTTGCACCGCTAATAAAATGTATCCTAAAAAAATAAAATAGATAAATGAGCAATTAGTAAACAATCAAATTAAATAAAAAAAAAATACTTTCTTTTTTTGTTTATAATCACATGATATCAATTGATTTGCATAACAGTGACTTGTACAGATGATCCCGGGAAAATTACAGCCGATACGATCAATATACCAACCAAATTTTACGCATCTAGATCCATCTAAAGAGAAAAGCTACCCATAGCCAAACATGATAATATAACAATATCAGCCACAAATCCTTTGAATGACTTTATTTTGACTCACAATATAAAATATGGGCCATTTTCTGATAAAAGATTTATTATATATTTTTTTTTTTAGTAGTAAAACGTAATACTTTATCAAAAAAATAAAAGTAAAAAGAAAACCAAAATTTTCATGTACTATATAATACTTTCTGGTTCCTTTATAAATGGTTCTTCCATTGAAAAAAAAGCTTTTACTAAAATAATAATATTTCTATAGGAAAGAAAAAATTTTTAGGTTATAGAAAGTCGGAAAAAAAAGTGTGAAAAAAAAGGAAAAAAGTTTATATAAATAAGTATTTTAAGTGGGAAAAAAAAGTTCAAATTTTCGGTTATACAAACTTATTGTAATAAATTCGCGTCATGTGATTTAATATTAGCAATATAACAATATCACTTTTTTTTAAAAAAAAGTATAACTTTAAAAAAAGTCTAAAGTTAAAGTTTAAAAAAAAGTTAAACTTTTTTCGGCATAAACTTTTTTTTGGTAAACTTTCCTCTCTCATTTTCCCCCTTTCCCTCTCTTTTATAATTTCCCTTTCCCTCTTTTCATTTTTTCCCTATCTCTCTTTCATGTACTTCCCTTTTTCTCACTTTTTTCTTTTTTTTTAGACAGATGTAAATTTCAGTATTCTTTGAATATTTTTGGACAAGGATTTTGGTAAGAGGAATGTTTCTGGCCTATCTCTTTAATGAAATAATTATTAATGTTCTGTTTCTTTTCTCTTTTAAGCGACTTTTTAGTTCTTTGGATATGGATTTTGGTTTTTTTAAAAAAATTTCTCTATTTCGTCTTTTAAAATGCTTTTTTTTTTAAACGGCTTGGATACTAGGATTTCAGTAAGAAATTGGCCTTGTTTTTTCATATTTTTAGACAAGTTTGGACGCGTAGAATAGGTAAGTTTCAAAAACAGAAATTTGAAACTTTAAAGAAAAGTTTTTTTAAAACTTATTTTTGTTTGATTTTTGTAGGAAATTAGCTCTGACTTGAAAGCTGGAATTCTAGATAATGGCGAGTTGAACTCAAAACTTTTAAAAAAACTTTTTATCATTTTTTTTTTCAATCAGTTCCGACTTGGAAAACTGAAATCTCAAAGATTGTAAGTTTCGAAAATAGGAATTCAAAATTTTAAAGAAAAAAATTTTTTTTTACATTTTTTCTTTTTTTGTAGGGAAATCAGCTCTGACGGATGTAGACACCAGATTCCCAAGTGAGTATCAAAAATATTTTTGAAAATTAATTCTAAAAAGTTTTTATTAACCTTTTTTATTTCTTTAGTAGGACTCCTATATTTAGAACTCTTGTGAAAGATGTTTAATTACAGTAGCGTCTTCTTTTATTTTATGTTTTCCTTTGACTCAATTATCAGAGTTCCCAGTATGATAACTGGTCTTTATATTGTTCGGATTGTGCGAAATTAGTAGATGAAGGTAAACTTTTGGGAAAATAAATTCGAAAATGATAAAAAATTGTGATTACTGTTTTTTTCTTTTTTTTTTTTTTTAGGATGGATTTCCAATTGATCGGATGGTGAGTTCAAAATTTTGAAATTAAATTATTTCAAAATTAAATTTTTTTAAATAATATTTAACTTTTCCTCTTTTTTATAGGAAATGGATTCTGGTTCTTGAGTGGATTGGATGGTAAGTTTTGATTTTAAAAACTTAATTTATTTAGCTATTTTTTTATTAATGAAATAATATTAACATTTTATTTATATTTATTTTATAGAAGGCTAAAGAATCACTACGGTGGTTTCAAAATTTTCCAATTACCTTGGTTGATCACATTCCACGTTTATTCTTTATCACAATTGTAGGAATACATAATACTGAGCATAATGAAGGAAATCGATGTTATATTTTATTATAATGCGGTATTGGTATGGATAATAATATTATTAAGAATTATATAGTATTTTAAATTTTTTGATAGATGAGAGAAACATTTGTGCCATATGATATTGTATACATGTAATTAAATTTTTGATTATTTTAATAAATTGATTTATAATATTTCCAACATATTTTTGATATATAATGAAAACATCCCTATTACATATTTCCAACATATTTTTGATATATAATAAAAACATTCCTATTACATATTTTCATCATATTTTTGATTGATGTTTAACATATTCTAGACATATTTTTATTTCATATTTTTGACATATGCTTAACATATTACTGTTATCGAGTTACAACAGAGTTAACAGAAATACGTATGCAATATGGTGATCATATTTTAAAAATGTTTCTACCATATTTTTCAAAATCGATAGGTTTCAGCAAAGAAAGCATTTTATTGGTATCAAAAAGCAGCAGAAAATGGAAATAATAATGCACGATATAGCTTAAGTTTATGTTATAAAAACGAAGAAGACTTAAGAAAGGCTTTTTATTGGTGTGAAAAAGCAGCAGAAAATGAAAATGAGAATGCACAATATAATTTAGGCGTATGTTATGAAGATGGAATTGGTATTAACATGGACAAATATAAAGCTTGTCATTGGTATCAGAAAGCATCAGAAAATGGAAATAAAAATGCACAATATAATCTAGGTTTATGTTATGAAAAAGGAATTGGCATTGAAAAAGATGAAATTAAAGCTTTTTATTGGTATCAAAAATCAATAGAAAATGGAAATAATAATGCGCAATACAATTTGGGTTTATTTTATGAAAATGGAATTGGTATTGAAAAAAGTAATTTCCAAGCTTTTTATTGGTATCAAAAAGCAGCAGAAAATAACAATAAGAATGCACAATATAGTTTAGGTTTGTGTTATGAAAAAGGAATAGGAATTGAAAAAAATGATGATAAAGCTTTTCATTGGTATCAAAAAGCAGCGGAAAATGCAAATAAAAATGCACAATATAATTTAGGTTTATATTATGAAAAAGGAGTTGGTATTAATAAAACTAATAAAGATGATGCCAAAGCTTCTTATTGGTATGAAAAAGCAGCAGAAAATGGAAATTAAATTGCACAGTATAAATTAGGTTTATGTCATGAAAATGGAATTGGTAGTGAAAAGAATGAAATAAAAGCTTTTTATTGGTATCAAAAAGCAGCAGAAAATGGAAATAATAGTGCACAACATAGATTGAGTGTAGTATATGAAAATGGAATTGGAACTGAAAAAGATGAAACTAAAGCTTTTTATTGGTGTCAAAAGGCAGCAGAAAATGGAAATAAAGATGCACAATATAAATTAAGTATTTATTTTAATAACGGAACTGTTACTAAAAGGGATGAAGTTAAAGCTTTTTATTGGTATCAAAAAGCAGTAGCAAATAAAGATGAGGAAGCACAGCGTGATGAAGGTGAAAAGTATGATGTTAAAACATTTGAGTGGTTTAAAAAGGCAGAAAAAGAAAGTGAGAATGCAACTGAATGGATTGAAACTGCCTTAAAATATAATCAGGTTAAATATATATCTTATGATGAATTAGAAAATGTAGAGCCTTTTTTTGGTACGGGAGCATTTGGACATATTAGTAGAGCAATTTGGACCAAAATACATGATTATGTTATTTGTAAAAAATTATCCAATACAGCAGATATTAAGCATACTTTATTAGATGCTTTTATTCATGAATTAAAAATACATTTACAGCTTGATTATAGTAATAGGATTGTACGTTGTTTAGGCATTACTAGTTTAGGTAATAAGAGAATTGTGATTGTTTTTTTATTTTTACTTTATATTTGATTATTACTAAATTTTTTATAGATCCGATAAAGAAATCTGATTACCTTCTTATAATGCAATATGCTGACGGTAGTGATCTTCAAAGTTACCTCAAAGATAATTTTAAGAATTTAACTTGGGATGATAAGAAAAAATTAGCATTTCAAATTGCAGATGGATTAAATTATTTGCATAACGAAAATATTTTACATAGAGATCTTGTAAGTAGTATTTGAAATTTTAATATAATACAAATTGGTATATACTAACAATATCATGCTTTTCATCTTAGCATTCTAAAAACATAGTTATTCATGAGCATAATGCTAAAATTACTGATTTTGGTATTTCAAAAATTCAAAATGATCCAAAATCAACAGTTTATATGGGAAATTTTGGCGTTATTTCATATATGGAACCAAAACGTATCTTTGATCAAAATTTTCCATATACTAAATCATCAGATATATATAGCTTTGGTGTATTAATGTGGGAAATTTCTAGTGGATATCCTCCATTTAAAGATTGGGATAAAGCTTCACTTCCTTATAAAATTAACAATGGCGTTCGTGAAGACACAATTCCTGATACTCCTATTGAATATGAAAAACTTTATAAAAATTGCTGGGATCAAGAACCTGAGCGGAGACCAACTATCAATGATGTGTTAGACGAGTTTGAAAAAATGGGTTTTGGGATTAACGCTAGAAATAAGTCAATTAAAGGTATGTATTAAATATATTTTCTTTTTATATTTTATTGATTATTTTTAACAATATACTGACAAAAAATGACCATTATCTTAAAAGATAACGAAAATTTAACTTCTGGATTGCAAATTAATAATGAATCTTTGGAATTTACTCAATCATCTGATCAATGCAGTAAGTTTATATTTCTTTATTAAATACATTTTGTATTATTATGATATTATTACTAAATATTTTAATTTATTTAAAATAAAATAGTTAAATTGAATTATTAAATTAACATATTGTTATTTGTAATTATAAAGAATGAGTTTTTAAATTTTTTCCTGTTTAATTTATAAATATTATTTCCTTTCGTTGTTAAGTAAACATATCTTTATTTAAAAGTGAATTTTATTTCAAAAAAAATAACGAATATACTATTTAGGATTGCAACATGATATCATGATGGTGATAAATAATTGTGCCAATAGGGTTCACATTTCGTGAAAAAAAATAAATAGCGATAACGGGGTATGCGGCGGTGTGGATAGCGTAGATATTACCCATATAAGTCATTGTTGCTGTGAAGCTTTAGAAAAGAAATATAATATTTATTTATCTCGCCAATACTTATCAATATACCTTCAACCACGTCACCAAAATACTTTTGCTACGCATCGAGACCTAAAAAAAATAATAATTTGCACAACTAGTACTTTTAATCAGTTAATTTTTATTTTTGGCAAAAACTTACTAACCAAATTTGAATATACTATAATCATTTTAATAGTCAATTGCGAAGCATAAATTACTATAAAAATGTAATTGAAATATTGAATAACAATTTATCATACAGGTCTTCATTGCGTGATGAATATTTTTTATAAAAATGTTGGTGCAGCATTGCCAAAATAATTTTAATATACCTTAAATTTTGATAATTAGCCTGAATAAAATCAATAAAATTTTTAATGAAATTAAATTATCAAATAATATTTTCTCATAAAATCAGTTATTACATGCATACACTTACTGTTAAAACATAAATAAATTCAGTGATTTCTATTAACCCTATAGTATATAATGTTACATTATGTTGTCCTTTTGCTTATTAGCCCTATAAAAAATTTTATCCGTTATTTCTGTAAATACAGATCCATTCACGGAAAATGTAAATAATTCGATAAATTCCGTAATATAAGGCTATTAATTCTGGAAATATGAGCCTTTTACGGAAAAAAGATTGAATATAAAAAACGGGTTGACTTTTTTTACAGGGTAGTTATTAGACCATAAACCAAGTGATCTTATATAGTAATAATAAAATAAGAATAAACGAATGTTAGTAATAATTAGATAATGTGATTTTGGCTTGTTTTATTTATTCAAACTTTTAGAGATACTTACTATATTAATTAATATTCACATATTTTCCTGGTTGTCAATTTTTTATAAAAGTTTGATAGATTTATAGTTCTTTGCAATTGGTATCTATTTTTTTCATTTTGTTAATATCATTTATTTTATCAGCTAGCTATGTAATAAGTAATCCGAATGTTGTAATATACCGGTATCTTACCTTATCCAATAAATTTGTCCAGAACATCATATTTATCCATTTATATCAGCTATTTAGCATTGTTATTTTTCATATATATATATATATTTTTCGTCTAATAATAAAATAAATATGTTAGAAAATGTTATATATCATATTAGAAAATAAATTAAAATCAAACCGCATCCAAGTTATTTAAATCCTTTAATTTTAAGATTTGTCCAATTACAATTACTCCGATTCAATAATATGAATATTTTAACTAATAATCAACATCTTACATATTTTTATTTTTATTCTAAATTCAGCAAATGATTAATCCCTTCAAAATATTATTCATATATCATTTTCCCATATAATAAAGTCAAAACCATATCCAAAGCATTTAAATTTATTTTATATCTTCAAATCAACTATTACTATCAATTAATTCCAGCATATTTCTATTTCTTTATTTATCCATATTATTAACAAATTTATTATATTTTCTTTCATCACACTTGTATTATCAACTATTTTATTCCATTGCCAATAATTAAACTTTCAAATATATATTTGTCTCTATATTTTGCCCAAATGAAATTTTGTTTCTATTCTCTATGACCTTAATAATTATTTGCAATCAATCCATGTAATAACCTGACATGTAATATGTTTTTATTTCATCTTTTTTCACTATTCTTCTCCATATAATATCATATGTTTTTAATTCGTCCAGTAATGAAATATTATATTAGCAAAGTAAAAAAAAATATAAAATAAACATCAAACAATCCAGTATAAACAATTGATGAATTAATCGATGACTACATGTTGGTTTTAGACACTGCAAGCAAAGTTACTTCACGATGATAATTATCCCTTTGTCATATCGTCACGTGATGACATGTTTATATTATATCTAATTTTATCCAGATTTAAAATAACTTTTCTATTTTTCTTTATCTAATCATCATATTTATCCATTTATATCACCCTATTTAGTATTATTATTTTCTATATATTCTTTTTTTCGTCTAGCAATAAAATATGTGTTTAGAAAATGTTATATTAATAAAAGAAAATAAATTAAAATCAAACCACATCCGTTATTTTAATCCTTTAATTTTAAGATTTGTCCAATACTCCAATTCATCAATAAATAGGAATATTCTACTAACTAATAATCATCTTTACTCTTTCCACAAATTTATTGTACTTGTCCAGCAATAAAAAAAAATCAAATTAGTAAACGTCATATTATAAAAATTAAGCAAATAAAAAAAATCAAACCATATCCTAAAATTAATATTAATTTTTTAATTCATCCAACAAATGTAAATATTATTCAATAATAAATTTAATACTCATTCCATTATCTCTTTAAAAATTAAAATATTCAGCAAATGCTTAATCTCTTCAAATATTATTCATATATCGTTTTTCCATATAATAAAGTCAAAACCATATCCAAAGCATTAAATTTTATATCTTCAAATCAACTATAATCAATTAATTCCAGCATATTTCTATTTCTTATTTATCCATATTGTTAACAAACTATTATATTTTCTTTCATCACACTTGTATTATCAATAACTATTGTATTCACCGCCAATAATTAATCTTTCCAAAATATCTCTATATTTTGCCCAAATCAAACTATATTGTCTGTCCTTTCACACTTTTTACTTATCCAGTATATCCAGTATCCAGACAAAGATAGTTTAAAAAATCGCAAATGAATAAAAATCAAATCGTATCCAAGATTATCTTGGCAAACAATTTATTTTAAATTTGTCCAGTAACATATTTAAAATCAACAATACTCCTCCATATATTATTTATATCTCATATTAAACGTATTGTCTACCCTTGGTATTTCTCCATTCATATAAAAAGATTATGTTAGTAAAATGTTACATTAATAAGAGAAAAACACGCAAATAAAATCAAACCATATCCAAGAAATCACTTTAAATGAATTATTAACTTTTGTTCCTATGTTATCCAGATTATTAACTTACAGGTTACTAACCATTTATTGTTTCTCATGTATTTATTTTCATCCGATAATAGAAAGAAACATATTAGTAAAACAAAATTATATGAGAAATAAATCACTACTATTAAGCTATATTTTACTACTATATATTCCAATATGCTATTGATACGTATTAATCTTGGGATATAATAAAGAATATAATCCTATATTATTACTTTAACCTTAGTATGAATGATCCAAGAAATGGAATAAAGGTAAACCAAAAGATAAAGGTAGTGTAGCTGCCTAAAAATAAAGACCGCGTGAGTGAACGGCCCTCTCCTGTAGTTACTAGGTATCAAATCTTTTCGATGGCGGCGATGAAGGTTAGCCAGCAGATAGAGAATAACGCTTAGCTACATTACCAATAGAAGGATTAATATGAGGAGAAAAAAAATACTACTTACAAGAAATAGTATGTATGAGGGGGAAAAAAAACTGTGCTATATATACAGAATTTAGAATCAACATCTTACATAATTGTCGCGTTAAATGAGACATGATGATTCAAATTTACCTATATGCAACGCGACTTCATAAGATTATGAGTCATGAACTCATGATACTAAAGATACTAAAATTGCCGAAATTGATTAGTCACGATTGAAAGCAATCAATTTCCTATTTAATAAATGTTACTGATGCGCTATTGCCTTGTAAATTGGATGACTCATTGCAGTGTTAATAGAAGATACAATTATACGATCACTTCTCGGCTAATACAACCAGGAGTAAAGGTAAAAAGTAAATCTGTCTTATATGTTGAAGTGCGTCAAAATGTTTTCTTTATTATTTTCTGTGTAAAGTCGTATAAAGAAAAAATAAACTAAAAATATGTACCGACAAAAGCAAAGAAGCCTAAAACTGGTGTAAAATCTTCGCTATCAAAAAAAAAACAATATAATTATTTTTTCTTCTATTTACAATTTTAGGCTTCTATTAACGTCAATATTTTATTATATATTGTTATTAATTACAAAGAAAATAACATTGATGTTATACAATATTCCTAATAATTATATTTCGCTTTTTTTATTAGGACAAAATCATTATATCTTAATAATAAAAATTCATTAATTTGTGGGGCGTCCTTCGTTAATTTGCTGTACATCAAGGAACCCCTGTTTTGTGTTTTTGGCTAACATTATATCATAAATTCATATATAATTTCTTTCCTCTTTATGTATTGTTAAAAATTAAAACAAAACCAATTACATTGAATTTAATTTATGATAATTTGATTCTAAAATTATTCTGGAAAAGATTTTGTAAGCAAGAGGAGTATTAAAGGCGAGTTATTCAATATTTAATAATATTTCATTATGATTATTTCTATAATTTATTAAATAAATTACGATAGTTACATAATTCTTAAATGAATATCATTAAGAAGAATAAAACAAATTGAGAAAATTATTACAGATAATAAGTTTTTTCTTATATTTCTAAAAGAACAGAGAAAGACGCGCTTTATTTTGTGCAAAACAACAAAGAAGTTGATTGGTAATCCTATGATAAAAATATTAAAAATTTATTCAAGAAATACGTCGACAGATTTAAAAAATCGGCTTAATATGATATTATTGGCACAGAAACAAACTATGTCTGCACGGAAGAATTTTTAATAATATCTATGAAGATTTGCAATTTGTTCTTACTTTAATGTACTATTATACATATTTTTTTATGCTATCCATTACCTATATATTATACAAATACTCCTTATTTATTATTTTGTTGTACTAATTATTAGCTACGTACGTAATTGTAGATCATTTTCAAGTACAGTTCTATATCCCAAATTCCCAATAGGTTCGTTTACCGGCAAGTAAAAAAAAAGATTGGTTGTTGTAACAACTACCCAAAAAATTCTGCGTAAATCATGTGATCATCACATATCACATGATTGAGATTAAAGAGTTACGTAATTTTCATAAATTAAATAAACTTTTATTAAAGTTTCGCTTTTCCACTTTCAATATGGATATTGTAACTACTGGTAATTTACAAAAATGTAAAAAATGTCAAAAAAATTTACCTCTAGAAGCTTTCATTAATGAAAATACTCAGCAAATTAAAACTTGTAATATATGTCGTCATAAAGCTACTTTGCAATATAAACAATCTAATCAATCTAACACAGAGGTAGGACTTTTAACTCTAGAAGAAATGTCAAAACAACTATTTGAAAGAATTTTAGAAATCAACACTAATGAATATTTAACTAGTAGAGTAGATTTTAATTGCAATGTTTCAAAAATTTATTCGACCATGTCTTGATTTGGTAATTTATATTCTTCTTACTCGTTTAATTCCACATCATCAACAACAATATAATAAATATTTATGTGGTTGGGAAAAACTTTCATGGTATAATTTGCAAAAAAAGAATTAATAATAAGTATGAAAGACAGATTACAAATCCATGCACTTGGAAAGATCATAATAAACGGAAGTGATTTATTTTGTAGATAGGCAGTAAATTAATAAATTTATGAAATATTTTCTTTTTTAAAAGTAATAGAGTAATAAAGGTTTTCTTTAAAAGTTTCATAATAAAATACTTTGATTTTTTTGAATATCAGAATTTTTTTTATATAAATTACATAATTCTTTTAATCTCAATCATGTGATATGTGATGATCACATGATTTACGCAGAATTTTTTGGGATGTTCTTGGGGTAGTTTGTTGTAATATCTAAGCCCGTGATAAATCACGTTGCCACCTTATATATTAACAAAATAACTCTTTATTAATAATATAAATAAATACAATAATATGCTTGGTTTAATAATGTTAAATAATAAGTATATAAATTATATTAAAATTCCATTTTCTTCGATTTATGACTCTTCAATTGTAACTGGGGGGACTCTTTCTGATGATCATTCTGCCCAAATTTTTAGCAGAAGGAAAAACGTCTTTTACAAGCCTTTTTATTAATAAAATCCAAATAAAAAACCTCAAAAATGGAGTCAGCATACAAATTTACAGAATATAGATATAGGTTTCTAAAAGAAACAAAAAATTTTTCTAGTGCGGACTCACGAACTACGGTAAAAGGCCAAGAAAGAGCACGAAGAGACTTTAGTCTCAGTAAAACAGAACAGAACTTCCTGGAGTCAATACGGAATGACGCTGTACGCAGAAAAGAAACTATACAAGAAATAGTTTTAAAGTGTTCAGCAACATCTTTCGACGTCTATATAGACGAAATAAAAAGACTCTCATGGGAAAATTCAAAGCTGCGAGAAGAACTGTGGAGGAAAGATCACATGATGGATAAGAAAGGCAAGTTGGAGAAAACACAGGAACGAATAATATCACAGAAAAATGAGCACATAAGGAAAATTTCACAAGAAGTAGAGAAAACGAGATCAGAGCTAAAAAAGGTTAAGCCTGATATCAACAAAGAAATCGATCAGCTGAAGAAATCCAATAAAGGCAGATCGACATCAAATAGGAGAAAATGGGAAGAAATCTTAGAGATACCAGTTTTACCTGAAAATACCAGTAATGATCAGCAGGTCAAGGAGGCACGTGACATATTTTTCTACGATATACCAAAATATTGGAGCGAGGATGACGTAAGGACAAATCTGATGAAGATAGGAACGGTTTACAGACTGCAAATTCGAGGACAATACAAATACAAAACCGTTAAGGCAAAAATCGCTTTGAACGAAAACTTTGAAAAAATGTTCTTGGATGGACATTTTGGTATTTGTATTAGCAAAAACTTTATCAGATGGTACGACGCGAAACTAGGTTTGAAAGGACGACAAGAGCGGGAACAATGGCAGACTGTGAGAGACCTAACTAAAGAAGAAATGGAATCAATAAAGAAGGAAAAAACATACGACTTCACGAAAAAACTGCAACAAACTTCCAAGACGGCTTTCATCAAAATTATCAAAATCACAAAAAATTGGAAAGTGATTGGATATTTTAAGAACCTCAAAGAAATGGAAGAAGCAGTGGAGGATTCATGCATACAAGGAGATACCAATAGAGTTTGGCTTGTGAGAAACAAGAAGACGATATATAAAGACGGTGATGCAAGGACCAGGGTGATGAAAGCACAAGAGAAGATAGTCCAAGAAAAGGTTATAGCTATGGAAAACAGGACGAGTTCTCCTACACGGCTGGCAAGTGAACCGAAGACACCTATCACACCACCGGAGAGAATTTATAGAGAATTAGGGAACTTCGCCTCACGAAAAGAAAGCTTATTACATCCATCAAAAGCGGATAAGCCACTAAGGATTAGCAAAATACCAGACGAAAACGAAGTTGTCGAGATGATCAAAAAATGGAGAGTAGGAGAAGAGAATACTCCAGATCATAAAGACACTTCAGAAAACAAGGGGCAACAATTGAAGAAAGATAACGTAGCGCCTGAAGAAGCGGTTGATATCATAAAAGATTACAGAACAACGAATAAAATCAAATATGTTCAGTATCAAGAATCAACCCACAATGGTAGTTTAGTCGACAAATTAATGGAAGTGAAAGATGTCTTCGATCAAATGTCCAACGCAATGGAATGGGAAAGAATTAATACAGAGGCCCTGCGTTTAGTGAGCAAGGAGAATAAGATTGATTCAATGGAGAAAGCTAAAGATTGGGCAATGGAGAAAAATAATTTTTTCCATTTAGGACAAAAAATTATCAGATTAGCGGAAAAAACAAAAATATTCCAGGAATATACAACCATGAACGATAATTTTAAACAAAGATTGGAGAATGAAAACCGATACCAAGATGAAAAGAAAATTGGAGAAAAGAGACCAATTCTGGAATCGCCGAGTAAATGGAGCGAGATAGAAGATGAAGAAGAAAGAAACAAAGCTTTCACTGAAATGGTTAAGGAGCAGAGGCAAAGAGAGCAATTGATATCTTTTTCACCATCGGCAATTTACGGAATTGAAGAAGACACAGAAGAGGAAGAGATAGAGGAAAAAGAAGTAGAACCTAAGGCATCACCATCAAAGGAGAATAGTGGAAAGAAAAAGAAGAAGAAGAAGAACAACAAAAAGAAGTGAAGAGAGAAGAAAGAGACTTATGAGGAGAAATGAATTATATTTTTAATCGAAGTCACGTGATTCACGTAAAAAAGATTCCGATAACAAAAATTCACAACAAAAATGTATTTTATTTCAACTTGTTCAACTTAGTTTAGAATACTAACTTTTATTTTTTGTAGGTATAAGGGGGATTTGGTGGAATAAACTGTTTGGGTGTGGGACCGTTGGGACTCATCTTTTGAAGCTGCACATGGCAGACCTGAACGTTATTACACATTTCATCTTTAATCCTACACTTTAAAATTTAGAATTCAATATAGTTAGGTTTCACAAATAGTATAGTTTGCTAGCTTTAGGCATTTTATTTTCAGGTAGTATATTTATTTTATTAATTTTCTGTAATGTTTCTTTTTGTTTTGTTCGATTACTCTGTTATAGGGTTGTCACATGTTTAGCACGGTCGGCTCTAAGT